AATAGTACCCTCCAGCAACTCAGCGGTAAGTCTGCCTTTTGTAATGTTCCATTATTAGTACCTTCCAGCAGCTCAGCGGTAAGTCTGCCTTTTGTAATGTCCCATTTATAGTACCTTCCAGCAGCTCAGCGGTAAGTCTGCCTTTTGTAATGTTCCATTTATAGTACCTTCCAGCAGCTTAGCGGTAAGTCTGCAAGCTTACAACGTTAGAAACTGAGTTTCGATGTTTGTGTTGGGCAGAGCATAGATGACCTTTGAGTAACTTTGCACTTAATAACAACTACACTATTCGTAGTGAACATAGTTCGCATACTGTGAGATAAGCTTCACGATACAAGCCATATGTTTTTAAGTGTTTGTTTGTTTTAGAGCAAACCCAGAATTTTACCGTAGACTTACTGCTGTCCCACCGTGAGATATTTTAAAGTCATAAAATTGTTTTATTTAGATGGCATATTGACATTGAGAGATGAAGAAGACATAGTAAGACGCCATAACTGTATTTTATATCGCTTTACGAAGATACAACTTGGACGTTTTTGTTAAACAGCAAATATGAGCAATATTTCCAAACACCACAAATTTAAGAGTTTAAGCCTTTTGTAACTAAAAAATAAATACCGTGAACTAACTATTCATACTGTTACGACAGCGGAGGTCACGTGATGCTAGTGACACGTCATGCGCTTCTAGAATTTTCATGAAACCTCGAGAGGTTATTAGATATGCGGTATTCTTGTATATATAAGCCGCCAAGAACTGACGGCAACAATGTGTAATTGAACTGCGGTCAGAGAGAGACGTATTGTTGAGTCGAGCACGTGAGACGTTCGTTGTGAATTATAGCGTTTGTTATAGCGTGACTGTGGAAAATAGTGTATTGCAAAGTTGTATTTAGAAAGAATAAACCAGTTTTATTTAAGAAAGGACTTGTATCGCTAAAGTTTCTTCGGAAAGAAATTATACGGAAAATTAACTAACGACCAGAGACGTAACAATACAAACATAGCAGGGCTGGCGCTAGCGGGAGCTGGGCCCCCTGAAGTATCTTTGACTCTGCACCCATTAATTTGAACTTGGATTTATATTATATTTGGCCTCACTATATGTTTCATTGTCGCCTCCCCCTTCTCCCCCCACCAGTTCAAAAAAGCTGTATCCGGTACTGAGATATTATTGTCTGCTACCTTCTATAGTTCGAAGAACCAACTCCAACGCATGTCACCGTAAAGTCAGATCATCTGGCAGCAATTGCTAATATACAGAATTTACTTAAGAAAAATAAAGTATCATTATTAGGCTTAAAACTTGTTGGGCGCACGCATCAACTGATAATACACGCTGGCAAACTTATCTCATACAAATCCCACTTACAATAGCACATCAGTTTGAACAACATTGTTAGCACTTTTTCTTGCTGAACATCCGGACAAAGTGAGTTTACACACTAATTAAAACTAGTTGGTTACATTTCACCTTTGTAAAGCCGTGGAAGTTTTTCTAAATCACTAATGATCTGTAACAAATGTTCAACGAACACAATTACAGGCTGAAAACCTTCGACAGTTCAGGTGTGTTGACCTTTTTTTTTTTAAAGAAATAATCAAAAAATATGTGCACGATGTTAAATAATTATACAGTGGAATCAAAGCGGTGATTAAATTGTAAGCTTAATGATAAGGCTTATCTATAATAACATCTTATATACGGTGAATATACAATGTAGTGTCTAGATACTTTCTGAAAAATATTAGATTAATCAAGCCACTGGACTGAGATTACACAAGCTACAGGGGAGATGTCTGGTATAACACTACCTAAGACACTACATGACTGAGATTACACAAGCTACAGGGGGAGATGTCTGGTATAACACTACCTAAGACACTACATGACTGAGATTACACAAGCTACAGGGGAGTTGTCTGGTATAACACTAACTAAGACACAACATGACTGAGATTACACAAGCTACAGGGGAGATGTCTGGTATAACACTACCTACTAAAAACCTCTCTTACATTAAAGTAAATATATTTTTTTAAAAACTAATAAATAATTTTGTTATTTTTCTTCCCCTTGTTGAAATATATAGTGAAGAAAGGAGGATCGGTAGGAAACAAAGTTTTACTGGGAAATGTTAATCTGAGTTAGGGTTAGCAACCTTAGCTCTTACAATAATATCTATAGAGTATATATGAAAAATAATTTTAATGATTAATTGTTCTTCACAGGGAAAACATTAAATACTGGGTCTTTTTTTATATATCACATCCTCGTGTAGCAGCCATACAACTGTAGTTTTTAGGTAAAACGTCGTGTTTCACACTTCGTGCGCTGTAATTATTAGAGGATTATTGATAACAGTCATATACAATTTATTAGAGATTATTTTTGTGATTTGACGTAAAACTTAGAGAGTAATTGGACAAAAAAAAAAAAAATTGGAAATGAAATATACTTCAAAGATATGTAATATATATATCTATTTTTCAAGAGCTTCTTATGTTTGTTTGTTTGAGGTTATGCACAAAGCTACACAATGGGCTCTCTGTGCTTTGCCCACCACGGGTATCGAAACCCGGTTTCTAGCGTTGTAAGTCCGCAGCCATGCCGCTGTGCCACTGGGGGACAACTTACTTATGTCTTCATACACACAACAGGTGGACCATCAGAACAAACAGACCGTGTTAACTCGTTAGTTTTCAACAATATAAATAGACCGTGTTAATTCGTTAGTTTTCAATAATATAAATAGAACCGAGTTAACTCGTTAGTTTCAACAATATAAATAGAACCGTGTTAACTCGTTAGTTTTCAATAATATAAATAGAACTGTGTTAACTCGTTAGTTTTCAACAATATGAATAGAACCGAGTTAACTCGTTAGTTTCAATATAAATAGAACCGTGTTAACTCGTTAGTTTTCAACAATATGAATAGAACCGAGTTAACTCGTTAGTTTCAACAATATAAATAGAACCGTGTTAACTCGTTAGTTTCAACAATATAAATAGACCGCGTTAACTCGTTAGTTTCAACAATATAAATAGAACCGTGTTAACTCGTTAGTTTCAACAATATAAATAGAACCGTGTTAACTCGTTAGTTTCAACAATATAAACAAACCGTGTTAACTCGTTAGTTTCAACAATATAAATAGACCGCGTTAACTCGTTAGTTTTCAACAATATAAATAGACCGCGTTAACTCGTTAGTTTCAACAATATAAATAGAACCGTGTTAACTCGTTAGTTTCAACAATATAAACAGACCGTGTTAACTCGTTAGTTTCAACAATATAAATAGAACCGTGTTAACTCGTTAGTTTCAACAATATAAATAGAACCGTGTTAACTCGTTAGTTTCAACAATATAGACCGTGTAAACTCGTTAGTTTTCAACATAATATATAGAACCGTGTTAACTCGTTAGTTTTCAACAATATAAATAGAACAGTGTTAACTCGTTAGTTTTCAACAATATTAATAGACCGTGTTAACTCGTTAGTTTCAACAATATAAATGAAACCGTTTTAACTTGTTAGTTTCAATATAAATAGAACCGTGTTAACTCGTTAGTTTTCAACAATATAAATAGAACTGTGTTAACTCGTTAGTTTTCAACAATATAAATAGAACCGTGTTAACTCGTTAGTTTTCAACAACATAAATAGAACCGTGTTAACTTGTTAGTTTCAATATAAATAGAACCGTGTTAACTCGTTAGTTTTCAACAATATAAATAGAACTGTGTTAACTCGTTAGTTTTCAACAATACAAAACACTAGTACCTGATGTTACCAAATGAGGTCCCCCTGTAGAACAGCGATAAGCTTATGAACTTAGAACGCAAAAATCTGAGGTTCTAGTCCCTGCGGTGGTCACAGCAGATAGCCCAATTTGACTTTGATCTGAAACAAAGAATAGTAAATGGGCGTTAAGTGGGGTAATTGAACTCGCCAGCGGTATATAAAAAAAACAAAAACAAGAGGGAATCCTCAATAGCCGCCGCTGTAATTAGACCTCAAATCGGTCAAGAGATGGAGCTATGAGCTAAAAGTTTGTACTTAAAAAAATAAACAAACTCAGAGCCGTTCTATGAGCTGCAATGCCGCGACTAAAAATGTTATTAATAAGCATATATATATATATGTTCGATCTTCCGTCAGTTTTTCAAATAATTAAAGGGATGGTAATATACGAATCCAACAAAGACTATTTATAAATTCTAACTCTTTGCGGGTTGTTCTGATCTTACCGCTACTGATGGGTGGAGACTACGTTTTTTGAAGTCAGTTGCTGAAAGGGAAAAAGCAAGCACCTGTTACGATGAATGATAATATTAAAGTCTTTGTTTAATATTGTCATCTAGTATTGTTTAATTCTAACGTTTATTAAGAGAAGTATCGTATCCGCGAAAAAAATAGCCTATTTGTTGGAAATTAAAAGGTTTAAACGTCTTTAAGATTACAGATGATAGACGTCTATCGTCCATGTACTATCTACAGTTTATAAATTTGAGGTCTAGATGGCGCTCTTTATTACGTCACAGAGCGAATACCCTTTTGCTAGACTAAGTGCTGAAGTTTACAGGTGTGGAGAAAGGGCGGGGATGTGGCAAAATGATTCTGTAATACGGGCTGAAGGGTTATTTATGATAGTGAGGTGACAGAAATATATGACCTGCATATGTAGTGATTAAGCCTAACTTCTGATGACGCCCATTACAGTATAATTTGTTAAAAAATCACACACTTAGTCAACATGACCTTTCTATCAAGTGTGTCATCTTTAAGATAGAATTTTTCTGAAAAGAGTTTATTAATAGCGAAATAAACGGGAACTGCTTATAAAATACAGCATATTAAAGTATATTAGAGCATCTTTACGTAATTATAACATGATTAGAGCATCTTTACATGATTATAACATGATGAACAGTTTTAAATACCAAACTAACCAAATTATTTAATAATCACGAAATGATGTCATCATGTCTCGAGGGTAATTAAACCTCCATTCATTTGTATATCATCATTTTTGTTCTTTCTTCTTGTTGGACCTGGTCAAGTGACTAGCGTGCCGGACTTTGAATATGACGGTCCATGGTTTACGTCCCGTTGCCTCAAAAATGCGCTCCGCACATTGACATCGTCGATTCGTTATAAGATTGACGTTAAAATCTCACTTTATTCAGTTAGAGTAGCCGAAATGTTTGTGATAGGTGCTTTTAACTAGCTGCCTTCCCTCTACACTTTCAAAACAATTTCACAGCAAATTCGGCATGTCTATGTGGTGAAATATACGAGCATAAGCCTGACTTGTTGGTTAAAACTTGAAATATCTTTCACGCCCCCTTTCTTTTACTCTGTAAATCACGGCAACATTTATAGGAGATATTATAAATCTCCCCTGAGTGGCGTAACTACTACGCTAGAATCCGGGTTTCGATACCCGTGGTGGACAGAGCACAGATAGCCCTCTGTGTAGCTTTGTGCTTAATAACAAACAAATATTGTAGATCATTGTTCGGGACCATTTACATATCTACACGCTTCTTTTCTCTTGTTGTCTGGTCCTAATTTTGTCACGTGAAAAGAACATATTTAATAAGTCATCTACTTGTAGATTACGTCCATATTGAAGCATATGATTTGCATTATATGACATTCGGTGCTGTGAAAAACTAAAATATATATATATTAGTGTTCTGATAATCAAGCATTGTTAGCGCTCTGTAATCTTATTTACGTTATACGAGTTCTAACAGAAAATCTGTCAGAAACTGTCGGACTAGTCTGTTACTGTCCGTAACAATGGACTGTCGATAAATGTTTTAGCGTTTCTTCATATAAATCATTAATAGCTTTTAATAAATGGTACGTCAAGAACTGAACATTAACACGGTATAACAATAAGCGCGTAGTGTCAATTAACTAAAACTATAATGTATTGATTCATTTTTGGGCTGGGACCGAACTCGTTGCCGTGGTGACCCAGGTCTAACGATCAACTTTGATAAACTGCACGTATTAGCCTAATTCAAGACGATTCTAAATTTGAAATTCATCTTATAAAATATTTTATACTACAGTAAACAATTGTGTATATTTTTGTAATAAACAAGAGGACAACGCCTTTCTTTACAAACAGTATGTTATTAAAAAAGTTGTTTTGTGGTTGGAATAAGCAACCTAAACCACACTTAAAAACAAGTTTTCGAAAAACCACACACACACAAAAATCTTTCGAAAAAACCATTCATGGAAACAAGCTTTTGAAAAACCAGGCAGAAAACCAAGTTTCCAAAAAACCACACATAGAAACAAGCTTCGAAAACCACACATAAAATTCAAACCTTTGAAATTAAATACGTCAGAACGGCTATTATTATAGGTATAGAACTAGAAAAATATAACACAATATATAAATAAATAACACAAAAAATAATGATTGTCCTTTTT